ACTTGTGCTTTCTTTAAAACTAAATTTGTGACTGGGCTGAAATTGAAAGTAATAAATACAACGACATAACAAGACAGAAGCAGTTCTAACCATAACAATCAAGTCGCTGTCACTAATTAGACAGTAACACAAAAACATTGATGACGACAGCAAAAGGAAAACAAAAAGTGCAAAACGTTGTTTGAAGAAGACCGGGATGCTCTCCAAAGGATCTTAGCGCTATAACCATCATTGCACCAATAAAATGATGTAGGAATTTGCAGGAAATACTCAATTATAATCAGGTCCAACAGAGGAAATGTCCATATTTGAACAATCTCTGAAGTAATGAATGTCTGACTAAATTTGTAACTATGTTTTGGGCTCCACCAGTTTTGCATTTAACAATGTAAATATTCAGAAAGCTTACTGTTGCACAAAAAAGGTTAACAAACAGTTCTGGTGATAGCATTGTATTCACACTATTAAAATGCAAAACCCCATGTTTAAATTACATTAGCAATGTATATGTATTCATATATATACATTTTTAACTTTTTTAACTGCTCAGCTTGGCTGACAAGGGGAGATATGGTTGATATTTGTGCACAATGATGTGAGCAATAAGATACTCTGTATAACAAAGCAGATCATCCTCAGAGATACAGCCACAAAATCATCAAATGTTGGAGGCAGTGTTGCAACATTTTAAACCAACACAAGACAACTTTACCAAAACAGTGAGAAGTTGCTCCACATTTGCATTTGCAGAATATAATAGTGTGTGCCTACACTGCCTTAAAACGCTCCTCATATATTGACATTTTTAGGGCAAATACGGTAGTGTCCGATAAACTGCTTCCATTTTTACGACATTTAAATAGAATAGAAGCCTCCGATTCTTTATCCTCACATTTGCTGCGTCTTTCTGTGAGCTTTGCTCATCTGCACTGCCCCAAAATGTGCTCTTACAGTACTGTGAAACTGGAACAGTAGGGAAAGAACCAAACAAGCCAGCTTGTCAGCCTCCTTCACAATGCCCTCAACCAAATGAGCCCATACCTGAGGAAGCAACAACATCTCTTCGTCCATTTTAACATTTACTAGTAAAGTGTGGATTTTACTTCTTTGTTTTAAACATACTGTACAAAAGATTTATTCAAACAATTATGCTGGCGCACAAGGCGCGTAGTCACTTGTGGAGATTTCATAGTCCTTGAAAAGGGAAAATAAATACTCCAAATAGTTTGTGTTTTACTATTTCAATAAATCCAATGGCAATTTAGCAACCATCAAAGCCAAAATTATTCTCTGTATGTGACACAGGAATCTTTTTTCTCCTCTCTTATTTATTTGAAATATGAGGGACAGTTTGCCATTTCATGTCCCAGCGGACTTCAATAAAAACAGCTGCCCCAAGAGGAGCTGAGCTACCAGCCCACGACCACCACAGCTCTTGGATGACAGCAGGTGGGCTCGCCAATCTCCTCCCCAGCAAAAAGGGGCTCATTACCTGTCACCTAACCCAGTAACAGAGCCTGGACTGAATCCTGTCCTTTACTTGCTCATTTAACACAGGGTAGGATTGGATTCTACTTTGACAGGAGGGAATCTCAGAACCCGACAATGCACGAGACCATCACTGAAAACACCTTGTGAAAAGAGAAATTCTCCAAGTTAAGAAGTAGTTGATGCAAGTCTCTCTGTGTCTATAACTCATTTGTGGGTCTTCCAGTTCCTGAGGAGGTAAAGCTTCCAGGCTGAAGGGGTCAGAGAAGAGGTGGGAAGGTGGACAGATAGGAGCTCCCCTCTGAAAGAGTTGGAGGAGGCCTGTAGGAACCTTCCAGCCCCCACCCTGCCCTCTGTCACCCATGCCCTCAGACCTGCAGCTGCAGACAGGTACCCTGAAGAGGAAATAGGATCTATTTTCATGTTTCTGTTTTTCAATATTTAGTAAAAAAAAAAAAAAAGAGTTTAAAGAAAGACACACCACAACACAACACTTGTTAATAACACAACCATGATGAATTGTTGCTACACCAAGTGATCGTTCTGTTAAAAATGTGAAAGATGGCTGCCGTTTCAATATTAGACTCTAAGGGGTTTTAAAACAACAGACTTTGAAGTAAACTGCAAAAATGACCACAAGCACAAATACAAATCTTTTTCTGCGTGTGCGTTCCAGTTAGCATATTATTGTGCATCACCTGCACATTTGTCACATGGTTTTGCCTCTTCAGGGCTCATTTTTTTAATCTGTTTTAAATTGAAAGTCGCAATTGAGAGTGCTAATTAAACACTTCTTCTACAGCTGACCGATGGTGACAATTGCCACTTAGCCTTGTACTGTATGACCCTTCTTTGTAGCATAGTCTGTAATTAGGATTAATTTACTTCAAAGTCCTTACAAGGGGAGTATTGTTACTACTTTTAGAATGAAGTATGAGAGGGTTCAGTCCCAATTAAAAAACAGCTATGATGTTAAAAACGCAATCTTAAATGAAGGAGAATGACTGTGTTGCCCTGTTGAGCAATATTTGATCACGTTTCTGTAGTTCTCTCATGCATAGCCTCTCATTTGGGTCATGAAATACACATTTCTGCTGTTTTAACACACATCTGCTAACCTAGCTGTGATGATAAACTGCTAATTAATCCAGCAATAAGCCTGCAAAGGTAGGTAAGAAGAAGAAGAAGAAGAAGACAGGATCTGAATGACAAAAGATTTCAAAAGGGCACTGCAACTGTTTTATGAAGGCGGGGAAAAAAGTTCCAGACATTTGTTAAATGTCAAGAATACACACTGGGCGTCATTGTCAGAAACAGTGACGTCATCACACGATGACAGGTGATCAACCTATCAGAAATGTAATTACCTATCACTGCAATGCAGACTGCCACAGTTATGAGCGGCGTTTGCATTTTGATGATGCCTCTGTGAGACTAAACCTGACAGGTACAGGCTACCACAGCATTCATCTTCCTCATAATGATAACACAATAGCCAGTCTAGTGTCTGGTGCAGAAGACGAAGTACTTCCAGTGAGTGTATACACTGTAATGTTTCTATTTATTGCAGGGATTTTATTGATTTTTTATTCATTTATTTGCCCCAATTTCACGTTAAATTTGTTCAGGTTCAGGTACAAGAAGAAGCTCGACACAGGATAAAAAAACCACTTACACCTAGAGTTTTAATATGTGGAGTTAGATTAAAAAAAATGAATATGCTTCCATTCATTTTCACTTTATTTCTTTTTTTTGTACAAAAACGCTGCAGATCACCTTGGAGACGTCAGTCAGAAGATCCTGCAGCCTGGAGCAGATTTGGAGTTAATAAATAGTCTGTTTTTTTTTTTTTATTATCATTATCATTATTAATATTAAACTTTTGAAAGATTAAAGCATAAAAAAAATGAGTATCATCCAAAATCTCAATTGGGATTCTTTAAAAAATAACTATAATAAGAAGAAGAGTGTAAGGCACTTTAAAAGAAAGGTCGATCACACTGAGAGCTACCATATTTGTTTGGTTTTTACATTGTACTTACATGACACCTATAATCCATCAACAATTTTAAATCTATCCCATCCAAACCCTGCTTGTACTTTTCAAAAATAGTGGCAATTTTTCCCACTCACACTGAGTTCTACTTCTCGAATGTTAGAGGTTAGAGATGACATACGGTACCTCTGTTGCTTTTCCATGCAAACACGGCAGGCAGAGTGTGAGCCTCACTCCTGGAGCTCTGTCAGAGCCACACAGCATGCAGCTCTATCATCCTTACTCTGGGCAGGGCCATCCACTCCGCTGCCAGTTGTCATGCTGCGGCTGCGACTAGTCAGCTTCTTGAGCTCACTGGCAAAGGAGATGACTTTTTTTTTGTCCTCCCTCACCACCTGGGAACAGAAGTGAATCCGTGTAAAAGAGATGCATTTACAGCATAAGAAATGTGCCAGTAGAGCCTGAGCAGACTCATAAGAGCTGAGAAAACACCAATGTACATGATCCCCTTTACTTCTTTCTATTTCTTCAGATTTTGTCTCAAGACAGACGAAAAAACTTAAACAAATAGAGCTTACAGAGGCATTAGACCTTTATTTAGCAAGGCAGGACATTTAAACACATTATTTCCAGGCTGTCAGAGCGAGAAAAAAACAAAACAAACAAAAATCGAGCGCAAAACGATGACAAATAGATAAAACGCTAAAAGCATTAAAACATGCAGAGCTACATAAGCATATTAGTAACAAAGCAGATGGAAAACACTACAAAGGAAATCAAAAAGCAAAAAAGCAAACACAAAACAGATGAAAGATTTGGTAAATAAGGGTCACAGGAACGGGTTATTTCATGTAGGCAATTAAGCATGCTAAAACACGTTGGTGAGCAAGCAACAGCGTACTGAGCAGGAATTAGACATGCAGCGATTATCAAACTCTGGGCCAACACTCATACTGATGTTTTTAACACCCATTTGGCCTTCTGGCTCTTCATCACTATTAACCAGCACAAAAAAGGATGCAACTCAGCAGATAAATATCAGTTGAGTTATATTGGTCATCCTATTGGCTGATACAACAAGGCTGTTATCACCAATATAGATGTTTGCCCGATGTATCGCTGCATCCCCAGAAAGAACAGCATGTTAGAAAGATGGTGGCTGAGAGCAAAGTTGCGCATATAAAACAGTCTCCTTTGTGGACGTGCACAAGGAAAGCAAAAAAACAAAAATGTTCTTTAAAAGTATTGCTACAATAAACATAAATATTAAATAAAACTAAGAAAAAAAACCTAAAGAGTCTCTAGGACTAGAAATTGGTCGTCGTGCTCAGAGCTACCTGCTCTTTGAGTTTAAGAATAAACTTTCCCGCGCCCCGCCAGCGGCTCTGAGCTTGGTAGACACACTCGTGATCCAGCAGCACTCGCTGAAGAGGCTTGGTGGACGAGGACTTCTTAGAGCCGACGTCCTTGGTCACTTCCTCCATCAACACGTAATCGCATGGATTGGGGTTAGCGAGGATGCTGTAGGAATACTTAGCCTTTGACAGAGTCTGGCCAAAAAACGAAGAAAATTGAGAAATATCGATGAAAATATTAGGATGCGCTTTCTCCTGTGACTCATGCTTGTTTATATAATGTGTTTGTTTTTCCTGGACTCACCTGCTGTATGATATCCTGAGCCGTGCTGTAGCGTGGAGCTTTGATGACAGTGTGAGGCTGTTCGGGTGAAACTTCATGGACCTGGACAAAGAACATATCATCCTCCCCTCCTCCTCCTCCCGCTCCTTCTCTGCCTGCCACAGTCACCTCCTCCTCTCCCTCCACCACCGTGTTCTTCTCATTCAAGTTCTGCAGCAATTAAAAGCAACAGTAACAGTCAAACAGTGCATGACACAACCACAAGGGGGAGCCAGAGTCTGCAAAATAGCCTTCACAAAAGCTTTTGAGAAACAGCTTATTACTCTAACTGCATCTACTAAACATGTGTACCTCCTCTCTAGTTTTGAGGCACAGTCTCCTCACATATCCCTCCTCAGTGTTCCAGCTGGACACCACCCTGACCACCTCCTCCTCAGGTGCTAGAGCTCGGTGCTGCGGGCAGCGCTTCACCTCGCTGCGTTCCTTCAACAGGGGAACCTTCTCCTCACACAAAAAGTATTCGGATGGGTGTCCCGCTGACCCCACGACCTGTAGGGAAGAGAGATAAAGCTTAAAAGTGTGTGACTCCCGTGACTGCCGCCTTTATAAATGCTCCACAGATTCTACAGCACTGACCACGTCCAGCAGCTGTTTGGCGGTGGTCTGCTCGGTAACACAGAAAACAGTGAAGGGTTCAGGACCGGGAGCGCAGTGCACCGTCACCCTGTGCTGCTGGGACGCATGCTTCTCCTCAGAACTGAACAGCTGTTTCGGGAGTCAGAGAGATGTAAGGCAGCAGGTCATTATAAAAACACATTGAATCCCAGATGTTCCCACTTACTTTCTCCACTTTCTCTGAATTTATTTGGATTGCAAAGCATTATTTAGTGCGCCTTAAAGAAGTTTCTTAAAATTACAGTAACACGAAGAAGTCAAATCTGATCTACAGTTTTTCTTAAAAGCAGCAAACCTGAATAAATCTTACCAAAGATGAGGCAGTAGCGCCCCCTGCTGGACCTTCCTCTGTTCTGTGGCTGTAGATAAATAAGCTGGAAACTTCAAGAGACTCATTGTGCTGTGTTCTCAACTGTACATGTCTGTAACCTACAACACAAACACATAAAAACAAAAAATTGAACGGTCTTGAAAACCTTTTAGTGGTTTGAAATAGACTGATTACATCATATTTTTATTGGTGTATAAAAGCCCCATCTACAGCCTGGAGACAAAGTTTTATCAGATGTACATTATCTGGTATTTGTACCTGGTTTGAGGGCTTTAAGTGGGAGAGTCCTCTGAGCTGTGGTCTGGGAACTGTTATTCTCCACCACGGCAAATCGCAGGAAACACATCTCTTCAAAATGCACAGTGAACTGAAAGTGTTCGTTCCACATGGGGTTGAGGGTGTTGCGGTGGATCGGTTTGGTACGGAAGTGGCAGCTGTCGACGGGCATGCCCAGAACATCCAGCTCGATGCAGGGGCTGCCGGCACTGTTACTGGGACAAACGTTCTGCCCGGACACAATCTGAGCAGAAAAGAGCAGTGGAGGTGTCATATCATTAAAGACTATTAGACGACCCAAGAATATAAGAAAGAATGTTCTTTTACCATTTCTTAAAGTTACCTAATTCTCCAATATACACACACACACACAAACTAAACATGTGTATTCAATGTGTATGATATCATTTAAGATAACAGATATATATACAAATTACTTTTACTTTATTGTAATTAAAAGCAGTAAAATAAAAATCTACCAATTATTAAGATTAAGCGTTTTTTTGAGTTATAACAAACCTGTATGAGACCCACAAACAGTATGTAAAGATATACCATCAAAATGTGCACTGATATTAATTTTACTTCATTTAACAGTTTTGTAAAAATGTAACTTCCGTGGCAGACCCTTAAGCATCTTAGCATATTTATACTCGTTATATTATTAATATATTGAGCACTTTAATGCACTGCAAAGATGCAGGTATGTCGGTGAGTTTTAAGTTTTAAAGGCCTAGAGAGTTCAAAAACTGCACCATATACAGTAGATGAAGATTGAAATGAATGTAACAAATTCATATGGAGTTCCCATTATTTCTAAATAAATATTCAAATATTTATGGAATATTTATGAATACTTAAAATGCAAACTGGAAATTCAGCCATTATCAGGTCCTCAGTTGAACTCACATGTAGGCTTTAGGCTTCAGTAGCTTCAGATGTGGGTCCACCTGAGTGGGCATGACACTCACTCGCTTGCTGTGTGCTCACCTGACGACTACCTGCTACCGAGACCTGTCTGCATTTGTACTAGGCAGCTGACAAGACTGTTTAATGTTGGATATGACTATGTCAGGTGTTTGAGCTCTAACACGTAGCTGTGGCATGTAATGTCGAGCAAAGTTCAGGGCTGAAGGGTGAAGAGGACATTCTTCCTAACTCACTGTGAGCGAGTAGACAGCAGGGCTCATTTTCTCCACATCCCGCTCCATCGGACAGAACTGCTGATAAAGTGGACAGCTACGGTCCCATAACACTGCCGGCTTCAGTACGTAGCCACATCCTCCGTTGGCCTCAAATAGCGCCGTGTTCAAATGCATGGGCAGGTCTGGGGAGGATACAGAGAGTACGTTTTTCTAAAACAGGTCATAAAGAGCGCTACGTCGTTTGGATACTGTCAGTTGTTTGACAATTTAAAATCGTTCTTGTCTATATGCTGGTGTAGAAGACAAGAGATTTTCCTTTAAACAAAACGTCCACGTTTAAGTGAGTGCATGCACGAAAAGTCTCACCAAACCTAATATGATTTTTTTTTTCCACCGCAGTAAAAAAAAAGAAAAAAAAGAAAAGGGCTGCAATACAATGATAAAACTGTCATTTCTTCCTTATGATCCTCTGGCTATTACAGTGTTATATTAAATTCTGAAGTGCTGTTTGTCAGAAGTGAACGGCCCTTCATACAGACATACGCTCACCATCAGTCTGATAATTGAGTGCCACCAGCTGGATGCCATGCTGCCAGAAAAGCAGAGGGTTGGGGTTGGTTGAGTCGATCCTGGTGGCCGCCGGGTAGGTTCTGAGCAGCTGGCACTCCGTGTGCTGGATGAGCTTTTGAGAGTAACGGCGGCACAGGCGCTTGGCGGCGTTCTCGTTGACGGAGGAGATGTGGTAACACTTTGGCGTGCGGATGATGGCGCTGAGTGAGGTGGAGGGGTTGAGGACAGGAGACGTTTGCTGCTCCTCCCAGCTGAGTCGCTCCGAACCACCTGAGCGACAGAGACACTTTTAAAGGCCATGAAAACTTCTCCATTAAGTGATGTGGGTCCTACATGATTTAAGTTAGGGTAAAACAGCATTAACTAAAAACTTTGGCAGTTTTACAGCGTGTTTCACGTTTCCCATATGCACCCGCACACATAAACCTCTGCTAACGCCGAGTTCCTCGGGCCAGGCTCACCTTTCCCAGGGGTGCGGCTCTGGGTCGTGACCTCCCCTGTTGCGCTGCTGCGAGAAGGAGCCGTGCCAAATATGGACTTCCTGCACTTTCCTCGGTCCTTCCCCCTGCTAGAGCCAGCCGGAGACAAAGTAGAAAGGCCTGGGTTCCCACACAGAGGAAGCAGACAGAAGAGAAGAGTCATTAATGAAAGGCAGACAGACTAGAGACACCACAAGTATCCCAAGAGTCTCTTCTTAATCGTAATTTGCTTGAAAAAACCAAAACATATCAGAGCCATTTTCTTTCAGTATTCACTTGAAGGGAATTTAATTTGAAAACTTACATCTGCCATAAAAAGGTGTTTTATGATCTATATTTTGGGCTTCATGTTCTGTAAAGCATCTCAAAAGTTGTTTGCCATTAAGGCCATGAAATTAATCATCTATCAATGGAGAGGAATAGCATGCAAATGATGTCCTACTTCTTATTTAGCAACAGTACTCTAGTCTCCCTTCTGAAAATACTTCAGATGAGAAATGCCCTTTTCATTTTATGAATGGTGAGTGCTTTTAAATTGATTCAGACACTTGTACATAAGTGGCACGTTCATCTAAAGATCACTCCCGACTACACAAAGCTGCAACCAGTCTGCTGCCTGTCCGAATTGGACCACTTGCCCTACTTCCTCTTTCTCATATCTCGGGTCCCTGGAAACGGTAAACAAACAGAATACCAGTGGAAACACAGGCAAGTTTATAAGGGCAGATGTCAGTTAAAGAAAAGAGGAGACAAACAGAAGAGGACGCTCGAGGGAAGAGGCGATAAGAGGTTGATGTTTAAGGGACAAAGAGAAATCTTTTCGAGATAAATGCAAGCATGCAATCAGGGCAGATTCCCGTAAACGGGCGAGATAAGATGTTTTATAAGCACATTTTTTTTAAAAAAGGAAAGAAAAAGAAATTTGAAGCCAACTCAAGCATTTCTCACTTTCTACTCATTGCAAGGAAATGAAAGTGCATGAGAGCTACAAGGGCGACATGACATGACACGACGAAGACCCTGGGTTCGAATTTGAACTGTACTCATCCATCAGAACATCCGCAAAACATTTTCTTACTGTCCGGCGTAAAATAACTTGTGTTGTTGTGCCGTTCGGGGAATAACAGCAAAACTAAGTAACTGTATCTTTTCCATGGGAGGAAGATGATTCATCATCTTAGTGGGTGTCCTGTGTGGGATAGGAATGGAGTGTAACACAGGGATATTGGATGTCTGAAAACACGGGGAAAGGTTTGACCTCTTAAATATAACATGGGAGTGGATTAGGGTGGGACAAGATCCAGAAAAAAAGAGAAATGAAATAGACAGCATTTAAAAATTAAAAGGAGAGAGGTGAAAGCAGAATATCGGTGGATAAAAGGAGACGGCATATATAGCAAAGATAAAGAAAAGTCTGTTCTGAGGAAATTCAAGGGAACAGGGAGATCTGTTTGGCAAAGAGACGGAGCGATCCCTACCAGGGAATTTCACAGCCTGGCAGTAGATGACAAGGTCGGACAGCTCCTGGGCGATCTGTCGACTCTCCTTCTTATTCTGGGGAAGGTAGAACTCCTCGCCGAGCTCCATGTCGAACACCTACAGGTGCAGACACACACGGGACATGGAGAGCACTGCTAACATTTCACTATATAAGTGTAAATGGAGTGCTGAATCAGAGGCCGAACCACACTCTGAACCTAACACGTATCTTATAAGAGGGAAGCAGCACGAAGGGCGACTTTCCTTGAGATTAGGTACATTTATATCTCTACCTTTCCTTTGCTCTGTGTAGTGCTATCAGCTTTCTTCATCCTTTTGGGTATTTCATCAGCAGGTTGCTCTTCTTTCTCGGCCGAACTCTTGCCTTCTGGCTTGTCATCGAGTATATTATCTATACAGAAGAGGGCAGCCAAAAAAACGGGTTTTAGTGACACCTGAGCTTTACACTGAGCTGACTGTACGGCAACATGCAGCCACCAAAATTAGCGAGCCTTATACCTGTCAATCAAGAAAGCAAAATCTGTGCTAATGCTTGCAATATGGACTCTGATAATGAAAGTATACTAAATGCACCATCCCCGATTCATATTTTTCATTGGTCAAAGCAGGCAAGTATATTTAAGGCAGAAACTGGCCTGTCAAAGATCCATAAATAACATTTGTGCACTGGAGCTGCTCCTGATATAGTGTACGTTAAATCACCAATAAGACATAGCATGCAAGGGAAGAAGGGAAGAAGAATATTTATCATCTGGGAATCTACTGCTTGTAAAAACAAAAGCAACTTAAAGGAGGATTTTTCTTGTTTTCTCGGAGAACAGAGTGGCCGCTAGATTTACCTGTTTCAAGTCATTCTGGTCACTCGCATTAAAAACTTAATAAAAGCATTTATATCATACTGACGACTGACTGTCCACGCTGATCCGCTTCACAGCTGGGAACAATTAAAAGAAGAATTTTTGGTTTTAGCTGAAACCCGTCACCTCGTAAATCTCTGCTGACCACTCGCACGGTTCAGGAGCACCGAAGCTAAAGCGCACAAAGGCCCCTTCCTCCTAATATTTAAAGCGATGTCTCTCAACTGTAAACAGGAGCAACAGCAGGGGAGTTCTTCCCATTCCTCCTACTCATTAATCGCAGCCAAAACCACAACAAACTTGAAAATGCAGACGCTTTTTATCACAGACAACGTGTTCAATTCTTGACATCTTCTTCTGTAGAAAAAGAACAAAAAGAAACAACTGTTTATCAGAAGGAGCTGACACTGAATATTTAAGCTATAGACAGCAGCCAGAGAAGTGAGCTGGACCAGACGGTGACTGGACGGGAGCCACTACTTATCGGGAGAGGGTGGCAAGTTGGCAGCTTAGTTCAAAAGTGTTTGTATTAGCTTGGCCAGCGCATGTGCCAAACGTTTATGGTGAAATGAAGACGTCAGGCTGGGGCGGGAATTGTTCGCTTGCCAATTTTAACATCCAGCGTCTGATATTACATAACAGCGGCACTAGGTATTAAGAAGCAAGGTTTAATCAATCTAAAGAGTTCAGATGAGAGAGATGGGTTTGTTTTTGTTTTTTTAATTGGTCCATGACCAGTAAGTTCCTGTGACAGAGACGAGCATAGTGGAGGAATTAGGAGCGAGCAGTGTTGGGACTGGGACAGGGTAGTTTCCCCTGGTCTGTTGTTTAGTGCAGGGGCAGCGCAGGGCCTGAGAAACCAGATGGCTTTGTTTTGTTTCCCTGATGAGCATGCCCAGCCACTGGCGAGGTCATGGACAAATACAGTACAGAGGGATGGAGGAAGGGAGGTGATGCGTTTGTGGGAGAAAGAGACATAATGCTGACCGTATATTGTTTGATCACATATAAAAAATATGTTTGTCTCTTTTTAACATGCTGTCCCGTCCAAGCACTGCATCTATACAACTGAGGAAAAAAATTCTGTGTACTGCAGTAAACAGTATCTAGTCACAGGCTACATATTGATATTGCTTCCAGGGAAACATGGCGTAAGTATGGAGGCAAGCTGGGAGGTTGGGATGCTACCGAAATTACATAAGAGCAATAAAAACAAGTCTACATCATAACAAACACTCCTGATCACTCACTAATCATCCTTCATTAGCAATCTACAACTGATTCAAATAATCAGGTAATCCCTCACAACACTATGAATTAAAATAACTATAAAGCAGGACCTGAATAGTACCCGAGTGAACAGTGAATATCTGTGCTACAGATGGCGGCCCTTATTTGTCAGTGGTGCCTGAGGCAGAATGTTTTGCCTGATCGCTCAGGCTGACACTACTGCCACATTATTCTTCCTCGTTTCTGTCAAACAACTCTTTGATATCAAATGGACTGGATGGAGTATTTCTTTTCCTGGGTTCCAGATATTATGTAACAGTAAAATTTTGAAATGCTTGTTACCATGGAAGATGGTTACACTACAGCACTATCTGAAGAAAGCTAGCAGCTACAACAGGAATGCAGGAAAATATAGGAGTAGGTCCAAAGCAGCGTGGCAGCACAGCAGTGCATGTTTCATACCAATGCTTTCCAACCCTTGTGTCTAGTTATTCGGCCGCAGATCAGCAGCTAAAGTGCAGTGCAAAAGTGTCAAGCCACCCATCATTTCTTTATATTTTGCTAGGGGGAAAAAGGTGATTTTTTTTAAACATGCAAATAGAAATAGAAATACGCTACATTGGTCAGAGGGCCCGGTGGCGTCAGTGTTCGGCAGCCTCGCCTCTCTCAGTGCGCCCCAGGGTGGCTGTGGGTACAATGTAGCTTGCCATCACCAGTGTGTGAATGTGTGTGTGAATGGGTGGATGACTGGATGTGTAAAGCGCTTTGGAGTCCTTAGGGACTAGTAAAGCGCTATACAAATACAGGCCATTTACCATTTATATAAGACACAAATGTAGTTTGTACAGTTCTAATAAACTTGAGAGTTAGTATTTGGTATGATCACCTCTAAGTACTTTTCAGGAATAGTTCTCCGGGCTTCTTGAAGGACATTCAAAGCTTTTCTTTGGTGTTTCTGCCTTTTGTTATGTTCTCTGTCAAAATGATCCCACACTGCTCCCACACATGTTGAGGTGTAAACTCTGGGGAGACCAATCCATGACTGTTGGTGTTCCACGGTGTGTTTCTTTTTATCTAGGCCTGCTTTTACTGCACAGGCAGTGTGTTAGGGATCATTATCATGCTGAAAAATGAAGTCGCTGCCGATCAGACACTCAAGATGAAATTACATGGTGGACCAGAATCTGACAATATTTTTCTGTGTTCATAATTTCATCAAGTTTTGGAAGATCTCCAACACCACTGGCTGAAATGCAACCAGAAATCATGACCGAGACTCCACTGTGTTGTACAACGGCTACAGTCACTCAGTGTTGTACTTTCCTCGCCTCTAAATCTGCTGACGATAAGTTGAACCAGAAATTTAAAATATGGATTCCACTGGCATATCTGAGTTTTTTGTCCCTGTTAACCTTCCTTAAGAATGGCTTTCCAAAGAAAAACTCTGAGAACTATTACTCAAGATTACTTTAACGAATTAAAAGAGGCAAAATATTTTTTAAAAAGAGGGGTCGCTGAAGACTTTTGCACAGTGCTGTAAATTTGCACCAACAATCATAACATTGTCTTAAAACCCAACTGAATATAGTATGTTATGTAGCAATTGGTAAACAGTAATAAGGGAAATTTCAGTGGTTTAATTTTTGAAGAACAGCATGAATCTGTAAAAGAAAAGAAAAAAAAGCAGAAGGAAATACTTAGAAAGGCACATCATAGGTGCGCATTTACCTTCAAGACCATACGAGGCAGTAGAGGCAGCGAGGCCATCAGCTAAGTGGAAAACAAGCAAGATAAAATAGGAAGGGTGAGGGAGTAAGAACAGGGTGTCAAAATAAAACGAGACTTAAGTGTTAAAAAGAAGAGAAACAGAAAAACCTAGTGAACAGAAACCGATTTAAAGCTTACAACACGAGAATCTATGAGTAAGTCGTGCACTAGTTAAGTCTGAAAGGACGTAGAAATCTGATAAGTCGCACACTTTAGTTGAATTCTAGACGTTTCCAATCACACACCACAATGCGGGTTTCATTACCATCTGATAGAGACTCATAATCATAATCATAGTCGTCTTCTTCTTCTTCCTCTTCCTCATTGGCATGATTGTTGGGTGAAGTCACTCCTGGAGACCCGTTGCTTGCTTGGGCTTGCATGTGGGCGAGCTGGTGAGCCTG